AAGAAGCAGATCAGGTGCCCAAAGGTCTTGGTTCTGTTTCCCTCAGGTAACAAATGTCCCCTTTCTTTCAGCTGCTCCAGCCTCAGCCATACGTGGAGAAAAGCAGTCACCTCCATCACCCACTCCTGAAGACATAAAAGCTTCCTTCTCTGGGTGTTGTTTTTATGGAAACTCATTCTATCAAAAATCCCCTGGGAGCAGATCCAAGTGCAGGAGACACGAAAAAGGCTACAGCTTGCTATAAAAGGACGCTTTCCTACACAGTGTTTTCTTCATCATGTTTAACTCTGTGCTGGACAAATCAAATGATGTTAAGTCAAACAGCAGCGTAATGCTGTAGGATGATGTCACCGCAAAACAAACCAATCAACCAACCCTGAAGGTCATAGCATGGATGGAGAGCTTGTGAGCAGTCTGGTATAAAGTCCACTGTAAAGCCCATGAGTAAAGCCAATTTTTTCTTATGTGGTCTAGAGAGCCTTGCAGAAGTTGTTTTGATGACTCTGTCTTGTATAGCCCAGGAAACTTTGTTTATAGCCCAGGACATTGTTTGAAACTCAGGATACAAAAGATCCTGTAGAACTGGAACAAAAGCAGATGTCTATTTTTTAAGCAGTGATTGTAACACAAGTGCATGGTCATGTTACTGTGGCCTTTCTTCCCAGTAACTGCTGTCTGCTTTAAAGGCTGCTAAGCCCATTATTCGCTCCTCTTTGTAACAAGAAAATTAAAACAGAGGTAGTAGGTAACAACAGACTTTAATGATGCATCTGGTTAGTACTTAGCCACCATCTTTCAGACCCAGACTGAATGCCAAATCACTCTGGCAATTGCATTTTTTGTAGTTATCAGTCCTTCTCCCTTTTAAAATACATCTTTCAGACATCGGCTCACAGCTGCTATTTCCTTTTCTTTCTCTGAAGTGCAGAGCACTACAAATACATCATTTAGCTTTGCTGCAGTCCTTTCTGTCCCTTTGATCATCTCCTTTACACCTTCTGCATTTCTGTTTCAGTCGGTGTGTGCAGTACATCAAAAAAGAGCTTTGCAGCAAGTGGGTTTTTCCTGGGACAGAATCCCAGCTGATGTAAAACAGCACAAATGCCACTGAAGTCAGCAACATTACTGTATTTTAGCCAGCTAAAATTCTGACCCTAATTCTTATTTCAAAATGCATTATATTTCAACTAAAGCTTTACAATTCTCTTGGATTGCTGACTGCTGGCTTGGAAATTTCCTTGTAGAAGTGTTAAACTCAATTGCAGTTCACCACTTTGTGACTCCAAGAGTAAACAATGAACAATGCTCCTTTCTTCCTTCCATGTGTTGTGTCTCCTTAAAAATTGGTTTATGATGCTAAGAGATAGCTTTTCTAACAGTACCTTGACTGGACGCTTGCTTCCTGCACTTTACAGACTTAAACCATCCCCCTTTGCATGTGGCTGAACATTTTTTGAATCTGTTTATAAAATCTGATTACAAAACTTTCAAATTCTTTAAAATGAAGTAATTTCACAATATTACCATGCTGCAAGTATGGATTTCCCCAGCTCAGATACTGCCAGAGATTGAACTTGGGAAAAGCTGCAAAGGAGGCAGCGTTAGGCTTGGGGGAATGGGCAATCCTGGCACTCGGCCTGAGAGTTCTGCTTCCAGTGACCCCTGCATGGTGCCCAGGAGCACAGTAATCTGAACAACTCATAAATACTTGGAAGAAAAGAAATACCAGTTGTCCTGTTTCACAGACTAGGAACTGATGCCCAGAGATAAAGTAACACATTCAATATCCCAATATTCTAAGACAAAGTTAACTCTGTATTTCTAGTCCCTGGCTAATGATCCAGGTAGTTGACATTGCTTTAGCTCTACTCTATCAGACAGAAAGAAAAAAAAATTGGCTCTCAGACAACTGAGTATCTTGGGTCTGATGTGGTATATGATACCAGTAAGATTATCAGATACAATTTTACCAATCCAGAAGCTGACAGCCCCATTCCTTACCCAGCTGGCAGGAGATGTGAACTTGGAAAAAGGATTTTCTTTGCAAATTTCTTGCATTGAGAATTGTTCCAGAGTAATAAGAACTACTCTTTTCTCTCTACAGAAACCTCAGCCTGTTAAATCGCTCTTGTGATAGCAGAATCCACATTTCAGCTACAACAGTGGGAAGTGCTGTAGGCAGGGTGATGTCCTCGAGAGGAGAGCATTTCTCAGTTCATGTGATGAGGAAACACCCGTGAACTCTCTGCGCTCCAGCCAGTTTCTGAGCAATTTCTCTGCACCTCAGTCTGATGTTGCACTGCCTCAGTACTGCTCACTTCTCTCTGAGGAAAGAAATCACTGCCGTTTCCAAAAGAAAAGAAGAAAAAAGGCCTCAGGGAAGAAGCTAACTTGGCAAGTAAAGCAGCAGACACTAACTAGCCCTAAAACTTCACAGAGAGGCATCATTGGCATGTACCTCAACATCTACAGTTTAAACTCGGGTTTTAAAAACACGGAAATTTTTTTGTTCATCCATGTAGAACAGTCTGTGTTGCTCAAGCACCACTTTTGACTAACGAAGAACTAAAAATGTAAACCAGCTCCATGACGACCAGCACACAAGTGAGGAAACTGCCCAACTGTGCCTTAATAAAGCTCCTTCCTCTCCCCTCCCTGCCTGCCGAAGTTCACTTGTTTTAGATAAGTGCATGAAGTCACCAAAAGGCAGATTAATTTCAAAACTTCATGGCCTTCCTTTTTCCTTTTGTTTTTTTGAAATGTCGGTGAGGACCGAGAGCCAGACTAACAAACTCACCAAGAAAGGATAAACTGTTCACCCTGCCCAAAACAAAAATGCCTACAACTTTTCCCCCTCCCTTCCTCCCTCCTTTCCCGCCTCCATCCCCTCCCACGGTTCTCCTGGTGACGCCTCCCCTGAGCCAGCGTTACCTAATTTCTACACAAACACGCAGTTCCTATAAGCATCACCTTCAAGCAGCTCTGGCTGTCTGATCACACCTCGGTTTAGGGGAGCAGAGGCGAAGAGCTACTACTGAGGGGTTCTGCAAGGTAATCAACTCGTTGAATTTTTACTTTTTGTTTGTAATGCCTAACTAGTGTTTAAGTAGATGGACCAAGAAAAAACTCCTGGCAAACTGTCTTGCTGGAATTTGTCAGAGGAGAAAAGTCTCAGTACAAACTCAGAGACAGATTTAAGAACATTTTGGCTTGCTTGCTTCCTGCAGGGAAACAGAGGCAGTTTTTAAGATCAAGATCTAATGTAAACTAAAAAATCACTACTATTTCTTTTAGTCATTGGTGTAAGTTATAGGTGTTTAAACACACACGCATTCTGATTTAGTTTCAGTTCATCACATTAGACAGATCTGGTGAGCAGCAGTCCCCCGGGACCATGTTCCAGCTGTTTCACTCGGCTCCCCACTGGCTGCATGGCTTTCTCTCCAGCCATACTGCTGCAAAACATCCTGAATTCTTTGTACCTTCCTGTACGTTTGCAGGCTCTAAATTGCCAAGATGCTTCTGATTCTTTCTCTGGTCACTGGGCTCGCCCTGTCTGCTTCCGGTGTCCTGGCAGACAAGGAAACTGATCCACGCCAAGAGTCATTGCGTGAGATACAGAAACAAGTGAATGACCTCTGGCAGAGTTTGCTCTATCCGGTAACACGTGGTAACGAGACTGATGGGATGGTTTATGCCACTTGTGAAATGAAGCCCAGCTCCAAAATAGATGCCGACAAGCCACAGGTGACTGGACAAGTCTTATTCAGGCAGTATTACTCATATGGAAGATTGGAAGCTATTTTTTACTTGGATGGGTTTCCAGTGGATAACAATCAATCTAGCAGAGCTATACACATCCATGAGCTTGGAGACCTCAGCAATGGCTGTGATTCTACAGGAGGACACTATAACCCTTTCAGAGTGAATCACCCCCGTCACCCAGGGGATTTTGGCAACTTTCTTCCTAAGGAAGGCAAAATCAGAAAATACAAAACAAATCTCTTTGCCACGATCTTTGGTCCATATTCCATCATGGGCAGATCTGTTGTGATCCATGAGCAGGAAGACGACATGGGCAAGGGCAATAATAAGGCCAGTTTGGAAAATGGAAATGCTGGGAAACGTCTGGCCTGCTGTGTGATTGGGATATGCAACAAGAACTTGTGGGAAGAGAAACTGCCTGAGGTTACAGACAAGAAGAAGAGAGGGCTCAACAAACGTACACAGAACCAGGCTTAAGTGAAGGCTAAAAGTCCGCTACAGCCTGGGCAGCACAAGGTGACTCAGGCTGCACCGCTGATCACTAAGATATATGGCTAAAGGATTCCTGTTTCCATCTGCTTGCTCCTCTATGAAATGCATATCACTTTGTAGAGCGTCCTTTCTGTAAGCCTATCAATAAAAACAGCATCAACTCAACATTGTGATGTGTTTTCTTGAAGACAAAAGATTCTATTTTATGCAGTTTGGGAGTTGAATGCGTGTAAGTAAGAGCGCTGATGGATATGGTCAACAGACTAAAGAGTCTGTGCTGTAAGGGGCTCTTAAGGGATTCTAAAGGAAAAAAAGTTACTAAGCAAGAATTTGCCTCTCACTAGATGCTATTCTGTATTTAGCTGCAAACCCGAAAAGAAAAAAGGTCTTTATGCTTTTAACAGTGTTGGGTGTTGTGTTGCAAGACCTTCGTAATGGACTTCCCCTAGAAATGAGGGAAAGTACAGACACTTCTGTGTTGAACTTTAGATCCATTTTGTTATTCCAGTTGTACAAGCCTCTAGTTTGTGCCTGTTTGTAACCAAGTTGTATACAAAAGTTTTAATGCTGCTTAGACAAGACAAAGTTAGCAGATCAGAGAGAAATACTATTTTCAAAGCCAAAAAATACCAAGTGTTTTACTTCATACAAATACGTAGGAAGTAAATCAGTCAGTTTAGGCTGGGAGAAGTGACAGTGAAAAGATTTGTTGCATAATTTTCAGAATTAAAACTCTCACTCAATAAGGCTTTATTTTTTTAATGTAACACAACTCAGTAAGAATATTAAAACACCATCCCATGGCTATGAATCATCTGATACTGAGAAAAGGAACCAAGCAGGTAGAACAAGCATATCGGGAAATGTTTTTATTAAAGATGACAAAATGTATTAATACAGTTTAACCATGTTGTGCTGTTAATCCACGCAGCAACAAAAAAGAGGTTTGCAAATAAATTAAACTGCATAATTTAGAAAGCAAACTGCAAAACAGAAGCTGGTAAACAAAATGTTATCTTTTAGAAATGTAGCAGACTTTCAGCTTAATCGCAGTTAAGATTTTGAAATACATTCCTGAGCTCATAGGGATTAAAGAAATTCCAGTCTTTATTATACAAATTCCCATATGCTTAAAAATAGTCTCACTTACAAAAGAAGCAGCATTCTAAAAGAATGCTTCTTAATCTGTCATTTTCACACACTTATTTTACAAATTCAGTGAACATTGTTTTTCCAATAACCACAACATGATACTTTCAAATGAAATCCTTCCCACAGATAATGCATGAATTCACTTTTAGGTGAGACAATCTCCTTAAAATCAGTTTGTGAAATGTACCTTCGCCATATCCCTGCCACAACAGTCCCTTCCCACTTTGCTTCCCCAAAGCCCAACACCAAAAAGGCTTATATGTGTGGTTGTGATTTCTTCGTTTCTAAAGAACTAGAAACAGGGAACACAGGTCTAAAAAAACCCCCAAAGCAAAACAAACAAAACCATTTCCCTCAAACCTAAGGTATGTTCATTCCACAACAAAACACTAATTAAATTTACTGGGGAAAAAAACCCCCATTGTTCTAATAGCACAATGATATCAATTAAAGCAATATCCGAGGAAGTTACTGACAAGAATATTTAATTACCTAGAGCAGCAACAACATCTCACTTTTACAAGTGTCCTGGCTTTGAAGTCTTGTGTTCCTGGGAGGAGGCTAAAAACGTAGCTAAGATACACATTTGCTAGGACAGGAAGGAGAGGGGCAGTATTGCAGCAGTGACATTGCACTGAAAATGAGGTTTTCAGAGATCTAGGCATCTTACTGGAATTCAGTGATTGCAAAGATAAAAATGGCATCTAAGAGAGAGAATGGTATGAGGACAATTACCAAGATGTCCTAATTGTTGGGTTGGTACATGACTATGCTCTCACAGAAAAGACATAGTTGAAAAGAGTCAACAAATGAGGCATTAAAAAGCTGTTGGTCTAGCACTGCTTCTACCTGCTCAAATTTTTACACCAAATTCTTCACTAACTAATAGCATTAACTGGCCGTTAAGGGACCAGGAGCAAAATGCTCATTCACCATCTCTGGGTCAGGAAAGACACAGGACAGGGAACGAGTAAAAGATTTCTGAGCTCAACTACGTGAAATCTTGACCTTATTTGCTTGCCTCAGTTCTGACTGATTGATATTTAGCATTGATATTGAGTATTGATATTTAGCTCTGTGAAAGATGGAAAAGAACACATCTTGAATAAAATGCTACGTAACATGACATTCAGGCACTAAAGGAAAAAATCCTGCCACATTCTCTTGGAGATTTCAGTTTCTTCAGCTATTTCTCTTCTGACTGTCACACAAAGGAGTCAATAGTGCAGTCAGTTTCAATTACTGGGAACAGCCCAACAGTCTTTCAAATATTTAAACTCTTCTTGGTTTTTTTCAGGTAATAAGGAACTTAAATGGTGATGAGGATAATGAAATAAAAACTTTTTACTGCTTCATGTCCTTAATACACCTAAATATACAAGTAGCTTTTGTTCCTAAGGGCTGCTGCTTAACATCAGTGGAATGCTGCAATGTCCCATAACCTTTAAGGAGAGAGTAAACATATTTGAGGAGCGCTGGGAGTATGGCTTTATATCCTGCAGACAGACACTGAAAGGGTTACACAAATGCACCTGCTAGGGAAAACACATGAGAACAGAGACAAGCCACATTTTTCACCTTCCCACTATCACCCCTTATATTTATATGTAATAATTTACATACAGCCTTTCTTCTGCTGAATACAAACTGTTCATGGACTCTGACACCTTGATTATGGCAACACCTGCTAGCTCATCTTCCACATACAGAAGAGTTTGTCAGTACTGCTAATATAAACTCTCCTTATTCAGTAGCTGGCAAGTGGGCTGTAAAAATTTGCAGCTGGCAGTTATTTGTCAAAGAAGTACTCAATCTGGGAGGGATTTTCCTTTTTATTAGTAGTATTTTATTAAATTTGGTTTAATTCTCTCTGATTGGTTTCAAGTTCTAGGAATGAGAAATGAACATTTACAGACAATTAGGTCCCAAGCCAGCAGAAAAATTGCCTTGACGGCTGCTGGCCCATAGAAGCTCCACAGCTGCTGAGAGTATTCCTTGTGCTACAAACAGGAGAGGAAGGACCTGCCTCCCCTTCTCCAACAGCTGCTAACTTCAACGTTAAGTATTCCCTCATTGCTGCCTTCCTAGAAGCACAGTGGCACAGCTCCAGCATCAGGATTGAGCTAGAGAATGACACAGCAGCCTCCCTTTTCCCCAGTTATTATAGGAATGTTTTCCTATGACTAAACATCTTCAAAAGAAGAAGTTTAAGAAAGTGGCAACAATGCAAATAATCCTTCTACCATACCATAGACTTGTGAAATGAAGAGGAAAGGAAGAGTTATCCTTAATTCCAAATCATAGGAAAATAAAAAAAAAGACACAGATTCCTTTAGAAAGGAGAACACAGATGGAGTTGGCTGAAATCTACCACCTGTTAACTCAGCTTGAGGGCTGTTCCAGCTCCTGTAAGTTGAGGAATGCAATTCCAGTAACCGAGAGAGCCAAGTAGGTGGACAGGGCATCACTGGTTCTCCTCTTGCTGTTTTTCTTGCTTTGGAACAGCAGTGCTGTTTCACTCAGTAAGACTTCTGGCTTCTCTGATGATATTTCCTTCAGAGCTTCATTAAATTGGGTTCTCAGTATCTGGTGAAATAACTCCCTTCATTTTCATGAGATGAGCTGGGAGAGGGAAGGAAAAATTTTGTACAGTTGACAAAACATAAAGGTATAAAGGTTTGTAATTAGAGAACTATATACATGCAGGGATAGCTTTCAGAAACTCCCTGCAGAGGAACAGTGATCTTATTTCAAGGATGTACTTTTACAGTCACTATACGTAAAGAGAACCAGAATGCAGTCTGAGAAAGAAGCAAAACCTTGCAGCCTTAAGATGCTTCTCAATTTATCACCCTTGAGAGACACTTCTAACCATAAAACACAGTCCAGCGCTAGGACCATACATGTTACAGGAGCCTAGTGATAACATGATAAATCATTATCATTGGCCTCTTTGCTACACTAATGTAAATTACATCAATCCATGTAGAAACTTCAAATCATTACAAAAACCCAACATGACTAAACCTCGTCACTAATTCTTTCCCTTAGGTAATTTACAGTTTTGGTACATTACAACCAAAACTAACAGAAAGAGATCTTTTAAAAAAAATATTAACAGTTCAATGTAAAATAACCAACCCTACGGCACACTGTTTCACTGATCATATTTGCAACAGCACAGACATTGCAAAAGGATTACAGTGAGATGCTCAAGGGCCTGGATTTCGTACCTCAAGCAAAACTGTTATCCAAATATTCACAGTTTTTGGCAGCATCAGATGGTTTCTTGTTTTCAGATTCAGAGAGCTCCTCAAAGCTGTTATTTGTGTCTGCAGTTGTAACACTGAGCCCTCCATGCCTTCCAGGGTCTTCAGCATGCACCACATCCACGGAGCTGCTATTTTGATCCCCTCTTTCATTTGGAATTTCACAGTTGCTCTCTGAGGTTTCATCATTGTCTTCCAGGGCCTCGGTTTCACCTGTTTGTTCATTCTCAGAGTTTGAGGGATCTGTGGGGTCAGATGGGTCAGGGCTGGAAAGTGGGAACTCTCCCTCTGATGAACCATTAAGCTCTGCTCCAACTACCACGTTCTGCTCCCCTGCAGAAGTGCCTGCTCTTTTCCCTTCCAGTTCCGCAACTGTCAGTTTAATTATCTGACTTCCAAGCCTGTTTATTTCTTCTTCCTCAGAAGGTAGCTGGGGCAAGGAAGGATAAAAATGTTTATTTTTGTTTCTGTTATTTAAATTTGTTCCCTCTGGAGCTGGAGAATCACTTGCAACAGCACAAGTTTCATCACATTCTCCCTTCTGTTCTGCTGAAAGAGAAATGGAACAGTGAAATGCTTGAGACAGTTACAGGTATTTTTTATATATCTGATCTGAAGAGTGTCACCACTAATGCCAGACCACAGAGATGTTTACTTTAGTAAGGAATTTTTAAGAGTTCTTCCCTGTCCCCTCCCAGGCCCATTTCTTAGATGATAAGCAATCAGCACTAAGTTTCTTGCTGGATCTGGCCCTGTTTTGGAGCCTGTCTTTCCCCAACACCAACAATTCTAGGAGTCAGTCAATACCATACTGTAGAACAGCAGGGTCAGGCAAATTTTTTCAAAGGAATATCAACTCCAAGGAAGGCACTTAGCTATGGTAATTTTTGGCACAGCTTACAATTAATCCCCACATCACTACCACTTTCAGGGGTTAACACAAGCTTCATTTATTTGAAGCTTTTCACAGGCTTTCATCCAATAATGAAGTTTTGTTATTGGTCCTGCAATGTTTCTCCTAACATAAAAGATTATTTTGATTAGGGTAACAGCATGAAACAAAGCAGCAGTGGAAGAATTTTAAATATATCGTTATACCAAAAGGCAAACACTGAACAAAATGTCAGAATAGAGAAAACAGCAATGTGTAAACAAACAACTTTGTGAAAGAGGGAGAATTTGTCCTCATACCATTAGACAACAAAAGGCCTCATTGAAAATAAGCTTGCAAAGTGAAGTAAGAAAAATTAGGAAAGGCCAGAAGTATGGCTTCATTGACAGCTTAAAATGACTCTTGTCATGCAGATGCATTACATTTTAGTATGTAAGCAATTACTCTATTTTTCTCACAGGGATCCTGCCTCATGCAGGGCACAGGACAGCCCAGCTGCAGGGAGGACCAGCCTACTGTCTCTATCAGACCTGTCTCATTTATAATTTGGGAGCTACTGAGTGAGTGAGACAAGGGTTGGCATGAAGGGAATAGACACTCTTACAACCATTAAGGAAGCTAGGGATGCAGTGCTGAAGACCTGGAATTTAAGTCTGTGGGAAAGGTAGGGATAAATTAACTTTCAAAAGGTGATCACCCACTGGATCTAATCCTAATTATCTGAGCAGTCAGCTGGAAAACTAGGAGCTTGATGTGCAGGACTGCTCTGCTCACGTTGTATATCAAACTGCTCAAATAAGAGCCAAAATGCATGTACCTTAAACTGGCACTTGAAATTAGCAGGGACTCTACCTTATTCTTTGCATGCCTCAGTTTCCTCCCTCTTACAGTAGGATAACACCAACCTATCACCTTGCTGCAATTTGCTGATGATAAATTGTTTCTAAGCACTAAATCATCAGAGAAAAGTTCATAGAAAAATAGTACTGTTTTCTTCAGGAATGCTTGAAATAGCACCCAGGGACAATGCATTCAACAACGGAGCAGAAAAAAACCCTGAGTAGCTGTTCATTAACAGCTATGATACTCAAGTACAATCTACCCCACAACACTGGGCATCAGAAAAAGTGAGATTTGGTGACAAATACAGTGTTTAATTTATATGACTGTACTATGTCATTACGGAATTTCACACAGGAAATACACAGTATATCCTACAGACATCCACCATCTAGATTAACTGAAACAATGATAACAAGTACAGACTAAAGGAGGCTTTGATGAGACCAGGGTAAGCGGATAGATTGGATAAAAAAAGCCTGCAAAAGCCCTCTTGATTATCTGCAGATCTAGCTAGGGCAACACTTAATGCATTATAAGAAGTTCTGATAAAGATAGTATGTTTGTTCAAAAGCTAAAAACATTCCTTGGATCAAACAGACACAAAATATCAGTGGTACTGTTTAAAAGATTGCATCTGACCAATGTGACTTCAGGTCTAACACTTACAGATACAAAAGAATTTCATTGCTATTCTGATTATCAACTGTTTTCACTCAACTGATCATTCAATAATAGGAAAATAAAAGTAGTTTTGTTTTTATTTCAGTAATACTTTAAACCAAGAGCGTACTTGCTTGGTAAATGAAGGCAGATAAACGCATTCCTACGTTCTTCCCAGCTGCCAAGCTGCCCCAGATTTTGAAGGTACACGGTATAGATGAAAAATTGCAATATGCCCCAAGCTCTTAAAACTCAACAGCAGCCATTCTCTATGCAGAGTGGTACAAAAGGCACCAGTGCATCACTCCCATAGAGATGCTGAATGCAGAAGAGCTGTGTGACTCCAAGCACAAGGACATGCCCTACAGCTGAAAACACAGCGCTTCCTTTCCAGGTTTTTAAGGGAAGATAGCAGCCCCAAACACCCTTCAGAAAAAGCATCTGGAATAGCAGAACAGGTTACTGTTGCTCCACCTACTGCTTGAAGCTATGGCTTTCCCCGCGTGGCTGGTAGTATATATGTGCTCATCTATGTCACAGAAACGTTGGCCCAGTTTAATTATCACAGAAGCAAGTTTTGTCTGAGTTCTCACTGCAGGTTCTTAGTTACACTGGGACACAGGCAAGGAAAAAACCAAGCTGCTTGGGCAGGCAGAACAGTAATTTATTAACCTACTCCAGTTTTATGACAGAATTTCTGGGATCGGCCTTGGCTCTCGTTACGCTCAAGAGACGGAGAGGAGGAAAGAAGGTGACGACCTACTGGGAGCTGATTCTTCCTCTGACTGCCACAGGTTTAATCCTTACCTGCCTTTTACTCTCTAAGGTTGTTTTCTTCTGCTCCTCTCTTCCCCTCCCTATCTCTCAGGTCCTGCTCTACATCCCTTTGTTTATCCAGTCCCTACACTCACTCTGCCCATTTCTCATCCACCTTTCTATCTTTCTATCACATCTTGCTTTCACTGCCTTTCCTCACTCCTGTGCTCTGACCTCTGCTCAGAAAGATGCAGGTTCCCCCTCACTCAGACTTTCTGTCAATCCCCATGTACTCTAGTCCTTCAATCACTCGACAGTCCTGACCTCAGTCTTTCCTCTCTTCCAGGTTTTGTTCCCTCTAAGTTTGTATTGTCTTGAAGGAACTCTGCATACAGAGTTTTACCAGCACTGGTAGCACAAAGAAAGCTCAACAGAATCATTGGTTTGTTTTTCATTGTTTTTAGCAGATGAGATTTGAAAGTGAATCATTTAGAATGGGGTGAAAACTGCAGCCTTTTTTCTCAGGGTGGAAACCTTTTCCCCACATTTCAAATTCCTTTCAATTATAGATACACTAAATTCTTGCATGTTTAAAAAAACCCCAAACTCCAAACAAACGAAAGACAAAAAAGCCCACCAAAACCATGTGGTCATCAGTATTTAACACCAAAAAAAGTCATTTGGCTGTCATAAAAAAAAAGTCAGCTGAAGTAGAAAACACAGCATGGAAAGCTTCAGCACAGAGGTTTGACAGTGTTACAAAGCAACAGCAACAGGGTCTGATGAGATGTGACAGGCAGATCAGACTGCCTGTCTGATCAGCCTGTAATCACAACTGTAATACCAGCCTCACCTAGGACAAATACCTAAAGGAAAGAGCCTAATACCACCAAGTAAATACCTTCAGTAACTGCAGATTTAATTAAAAATCAACAATTAAGTAGGCAAAAAAAATATTTATGAGTTATTATTACTCACCAGAGAGCTATTCACTATAGTTTCAATTCTTATTTTTAGCAAAAATATCAGCTGATCAAGATCATAAAAAAAGATCAGTCTGGCTGTCAAGTTTTATCAGATGATGACATGGATTATAAAGTCAAAATTAAGCCACCATCTATTTAGTTTCAGGACTAACAAATAAATTGTTTATGATACTTCATGGTTAGCTGAGAAAGATCTGGGCATACCAAAATGTTATGCTCATTAAAGAGCTTATCCAAACGCCAATAAGCAAGCATAATAATCCATCTCCTATCCATAATGAAAAACTAAGGGGAAAAAAAATCAAGGTTATCAGCAAAACACTATCTTCTGCTACTGTAAATTAAAGTTAAGCTTGTTTTTGGAGCGATGTTAAAGCTTGCCATTGGAGAAGGATTTTTAACAAAACACATGCAAGACTATAAAAAAGTAGTTTGTCCAGGAAAATGAGTTGGGTATTTCAATTTACCGGGCACAATCAGGAACCCATTCATCTAGATATCACCTATAATGCAGGAAAGCGCTAAGCCAGTTCCACAGACTGCTTCCTACACTGCATTTTAACTGAAGGAAAAAGCGCAGGAGTCAGTTAACTGTAACACAGATGGCATGAATAACTTCTCACAGTATCAGGTTACCTGGCTGGAAAATTCTTTGAGGTGTAGGGCCTGATCTCTAGTCCTGTGCAATCTATTCAACAGTAATTTTTCAATTGTGTCTTTGCTATTTGTACTGGGACCACCTGGCTGTTTTACTTTTGGATGATTTATTCAATCTCTGTGACCACTGAAAATTTGCCTTCTGCTATCCCAGCATGAAAATTTATTACGTTTTATTTGGAAAGAAATGAGTGCTCAGCTCTCATCATGTTCCTTACGTTCCAGGTGCTCACCTCGTACTTCAGCTTTCTGTGGCTTATCAGTAAAAGACAATGGTGACCTGGAGCGCTGCAGCACGGGCAAGGTTGGGTCACTGAATGTTATCGTATCCTTTCCACCTGGAACAATCTCAGTGTTAGAACCAAGAATCCACCAATTACATCCATTGTGCACTAATGATATCCAAACATATCCTACAGAAGTACAGAACAGGAGAAGCATCTCAAATGATCCTTTTTAGAGCATGGAAAAACCCCTCTGTACTGGATCTGGAACATACAAGTCAAATGCAGAACAGGTCTATGTTTTTACCTGCAGTGCTGAGTAAAGGCCAGATTTCGAAAGACCAGGTGCTGTATGCAGCAAATGCTATTAAGCAATTAGCATTCCATTACAAATATTAATAATCAGATCATACCAAAAGTTTTATAAAGAATAATGGATCATTTGCATGCTATTACCAGCAGGTGTTCAGCACTGACTCTTTACTCTGTATTACTCTGCATCATGTGATACAAGAAGGTTCATAATCATGTCGTTTTACACTTCAGGCTTACATATTATTCTACAATACTCCCTTAATAAATACTAAAAGCTTAGCATAACTAAGAACTGAGGGAGCAAACAAGTACACATTGCTGGGGAACAGGAGAGATTTTAATCTGAAAATTACAAAAACATTTCTGAGCATTTTCGTTTTAAACCAAATGGGAAAGGGCAATTTTCCAGCTCTTTTGCAGACAAAATAATGCAAGAAACTCTTCATCTGAGAACTCTGCTGTAGATGCCTAGTCTTTACATATTCTAGCAATACAAACAGCAACACCTGCAGATCCTTTAGGAAGTACTACACTATTTAGGATGGTCATGTTTTTAGCGACTGACACTACCTTAAACCTAGAGAGGAAACAGCAGGAAATGTGCAAGATCAGCTGAGTGTGGTGTTTGCGTGGCCTCCAGAACAACTGCCAACCCATAAGTAATGGCTGGGGAGGCAGCAAGCTACTGCCCTATTCATCTCCATGAGAACGGACATTTATGTAACAACCACTTCTCCCCTCTAAATCTGTTTGCACCTTTCACCTTAATGCAACATCCTAATCTAATCACCCATCCAAGACAAAGACTTTCAAAAGAGCACCGGGTCAGGAAATACTTGGAATAAATCCAGCTCTGAGAAAGTTCTGGTAACTACTGGGGAATAATAAAAGTGAAGCTGTTCCCATGGAGTCTAATGGGATGACCCCAATCCCTAACTACTTTTGAAGGCACTGGCTGCAAATACATTGATCCTGAAGGTATTAATGATGTTTTTATACCGTTATCCTTATGTTGGGCAATACACTGCAGCAATATGAATGCAATTAATGCTTTTGAAACATGGATCTTGTCAAGCTTTGATCCCTGATGTATGCACCAGAATTCTGCCTTTGCCACAGTCAGTAATAAAAAACAATATTAACTAGCAGCAAAGAGGAGAACCCCCCCCCCAGTGTAAGGCAAAATTGTTTAAAAACAAAAAAAAAGGCAAACCAAATCCGATGGCTATTTCAAAATGCAAAAGCCCCTAGATGAATGTACTTTCCTGTAACAGTGAAGGAATTTTGTACTGGAAGAAATAAATCATACAGGGAAGAACTAGTGAAAACACCCAACAGATAGTCACACCAGTCAAAAGCAGCCACATATCCAGAAAGATACAAAAGAATCCAACAGAGGAAGTAAAAAGATGATGAATAAAAATATTGAGGGGAGGTTTTAATAGGAAAGTAGAAAGCAGAGTATTTTTTTTAATTTAATAAAAAAAGTAAAGCCTGAGCTGAAGTTCCTGAAGATTGCAAGACAAGCTTCAAAAAAGATATTTCTTGACTTCCAGCCAGCATTTACACAGTAAACACATTTACTTTCACATTTTTCTCTGAAAACCAATCTGGTTACAGAAAATAAAGCTAAGCTCAGTATCCACACATCTTAACAATAGATGTGGCTCAAAGAGTCTGATGCATATTTATTTATTAACAGCGACTCATATCCATTCATGAAGGAGGGACATAGGGGTACTGCTACACTACATTCTGAGAATCAGGATCTGAAGTTGGATTACACACAAGGAATTTCAACTATCTGCTCTGTAAACTCAATTTCATAACCTTCATGTTCCTCTAATGAATTTTTCAAGAACTTTAGTGAAAAGTATACTGATTTCAAAACACACAGAAGTTTTCAGTAGTAGTAAATTTTTCATTTTCTTCTCCAGGGTTGGGTATCCTCTTATAGCCTCTGCTGCACCCCACACCACTATAAGTGGCTGCAGCCACAGCAGCTGCTGAGCCCATTAACTCTCCCTTGCCCCTGCTCCGCGCCGATTACTGCAGAGCAAGAGGCAGCCCTGAAACTCTCTTATCATCCCACACAGGAAAAGGATGAGTCATGGATGGTTCTTTTCTAACAATTTTTTCCAGTGGAAACCTGGAATTTTCTGGAAATGATATATTTAAAAAAATTACAGTATAACTTATCTGAATGTCTAGTGACATCAAATTGTGAGAGGAATAAGGTGGTGTTTACTGTATACTATTACTGAATACATTTAACATATTATGTGTGCATATCTGAACCACAATGTACCCAAGACAAAACAAAGAATTAAACGTTTCTGTGAACATCACATTCTCTGCTCCCTTCTCAAGGCAAGAAGGATCATAAAAAGATAATCAAAGCCAAATCTATGCCCAAGCTTGCTTTCTTTTCAGCAATGAAAACAAACCGCATAAGAGATTCATTTAATTAAAGCCCGTTTTCCAAGCAGGGGAATCTAAAGTCTGTGGTAGGCAGAACTTCTACAGAAAATGAAATACGATACTGGTTTCACCTTTTCAAAAATTAAATATGCGCTTCCTCTTGATTTAGTTTCCCCTTAGTTCATTCATACATTTCTCAAAAAGCAGATGACAAATATGTCACCTAACAAAAAGTCAGAAGCCTTCAAAATCTTTCTTCAATAGGATCGAGTATATTAACACCATTTGGAAGATATTATTATCATGGTGACAGTGGATGTTATAAATGTTATATGAACAGTGATGTCCAAGTAGGAACATTAACTTCAGATTAAAAACCTGAAATTTATGATGTGCATTTCTTTCAGTGCTAGAATGAACATCAGCTTTTATCTGCATTTTTTTTCAACGATGAAAACTTCCAATCACAACCAAGTAATATTTTTTCGCTCTGGATTTAAGACTAACTAGAAGAGATACTCCCCATGTTCTGCTCCTCACCCAAACCAACATTCAGCCGCAAAATCCACTGTGGTATTCCCACACTATTTGTTACACACTGCTGTTTTACAGAGCAGAAGCTTTACATGCTCTAAAAGAGAACTGGTGACCCACCAGGTGTTGCAATGCTCTTTCTGACCACCTCGGGATTAGTGTGCACTTGGAAATAAAAGTGCACTTCTGAATTAAAAAGCAAGCAACAAATCAACAAACCTTGGGCCTCAACAGAACTTGCAATCCAGTGTAAAAGTCCTTTAGAACTTTTAAGATCATCCTCTCTTACTATTTTCCTTAATGTAAATGAATTGTCATGTGGAGGAGCCTCTATTTCTCCTGTTGTCATCTAACTCATTTGACTGAACATCTTAATCTGCTGGATAGAAAAATGTTCAGATAACATTTCCATTTCCATTTATTTACATGCAGCAACAATATTTAACGTACTGCTAAAATCAGTCACTAAAAATATATGTTAAGCAGAACCTACTCCCAAATCCCACTGAGACATTGTAGCTCAGGCCTTCAGGCAGCAAAAGAAAGGAAGGAAAAAGACAGTTGTTATTATATAAACATTAATTTCTTTTCTTACCTACACAGATCAACAGTGGTGCAAGAAGTTTCCACTTCCATTTTTTAAAATACATTTTGCAAAGATTAGAAATGCTGCATTTATTAGTGTAAAAATTTCACGGAACACTATTTTTGAAAAACAAACCAAAACAAACAAACCCCTACGGTACCTTGAACCAGTGAGTTTATAATACACATCTGTACTAATGTACAAAACTGCTTTAGCACGGTCTTAGACAAATATTTCACTGACATCTTTTGGAGAATATGGGAGGGACAAATGCACTAAAGCACACTATGCCTGTTAGGTGCCTAACTGAGGAGTAATCCATGGAAACAAATTTGGGACCTGTAGTTCTGGAAAGAGTCAAGAAGAGAGCCGGTTCCAGAGAGGTGATTGAGAATGCCCACAATGGGCAAGCTGAAGTGGAAACACACCACATCAGCCCAAACAGATGAACAGCGTAGGTTTGTCCCAGGGGCTCTTCAGCTCTGTTAAATGTTTTCTTCTAGATGTAAAAGTTAGGTAGAAAAAACACAGAGCCAAAAACCTAGAAGCCTAAACCACATTCACTCCCACCCCCAGCAGCACTGATAGGAAGCTGTAAAAACAACAAAGCCTAATGATGCAAACACCAACAATGGAGTAGCATAATTTACAGTGGTTAAAGAAGACACAATTAGGGGTAATGGGAAGAAAAGAAGCAAAAAAGTAAATGTAAATTAAATATTGCACATTTTCCTAACAATGAGGTCTATTAGGAAGCAGATTAATCTCCCATTACTTGAGTAATTCAAAACCAAATAGAATACTTAAGACACTACTGGGAATAAACCTGTTCTGGAGAGATGGACTGGAAAATTTATGACCATTTACATTTCCAGTTTCTAAGAGTTTATGATTCTACAGAAAAAAATTTTAAAAACAGTGAAAAAATCCATGGAAGTTACAAGAAGTACAAAATTAATAAATAAAATTTGTTGAAAAACATAATGGTCAATAACCTGTGTAATATTTTATACAATGTTTAAATAAAACAGTTTCCTTTTGTTTTGTCTGCAGTCTATGGAAATAATTTGATTATTCCCAACACTTAAATCCTTTTTTTCAGTATTTTTCAGTTTTTTTCCAATGCATATTGGACTTAAGAGTTAAAAAGCTTAGTGATTTTTGGTTTCAACTTAATAAATATTAGACATTTCTAATTTTGCAAATGTGCTGAAAAGAACATTTGCAAAATAACCATCATTAAAAAAAATTATAGCCAAACTTTTCTTAAATGTAAATATACCCTTGAAAACTAAATAATGCAAGCTATTGTCTTGAATTTTTACTAACCTGGAAGACTCCACAAGCCAGCAATTTCCAAAGTTCTTAATTTCTTTTCTAGTTCTGCCACTCGATTACCTAGAATTCTTCAGAAAAAGAAGAGTAGTTATACTAAGGTAACCAAAGTGCAATTGCTTACACCTTACAGCTGAATTTTTAATTTGCTACTTAACTAGCGCAGTAAATCTGTATACAGTCATCTCTTTTCACTAAAAGCAATGGACAACCTCCCCCAGAGTTAAAAATTAAATATATTTGTCTAATCTCTCCCATGGTTTAAAAAAAAAAAAAAAGGCCTAGGATGTACTGGACTTTCAATCTTTGCCATTCAGTAAAGACAAAGAATAGCAACTCACAGTATTTCTACCTCCTTGCCTGCAAATATCACTTTATTTCTCTATAGCTAAACCCAGAAGGTAAAAGCTACACAGACAAAATATGGAAAATTCAAGACAACATCTAGATTGATTCTGAAGTTCCAAGACACAATTTTGGCCTAGTACTTTATTCAGAGAGGTTTCTCTATCACTAAGATTGCTTAAAATGGCAAGGAATACTTTTTCCACTATACCATTTTTTTAGTATTGAACTGTTTTCTCCTTTACTAAAAAGCTTTAAGCCCTTTGGTGCCTTTATCACCCTCTCTTAGTTTTCACTGCATTCCTTGGGTCATCTCTTCTTTTGTATCTGATTTCATACACAAATACTATTTGCAGTTAGCTCTCCTGCAGGATTTAACTTTTAGTCTTAATTCTCTCCCCAGATCAAATGAGAGATTTCTATCTTGCAAAGAAAGCTCTTTTCTCCAATGAATTTTTGAAAGTGTTTCACAGGCACAGCAAGTCTCCTGGAGTCAGAAGTCTTTAAATAAATCCCGAACAATACTCAACAGACTGAGAAACCTAGACGAGGCAGCAATTCTAAACATGACAGCACGGATTATGGACAGCAGGTTTTACTCATCAAATTACAGCAACAGGATAAGTCAGTTAAATTTGAACTGAATGCTGAGAAGCAGCATATCACAACACAGCAAGGCAACAGTATCTTCCCATGCACATCAGAGCTGTGTAATACTGCACTGGAGCTCTCCAGCGAGGGCTTTATGCGCAGACATTTGAGCGTACTGGGAATGTCATTACTGACAAGATGGCAGATTCTGGGAAGGACATGAAGAATAGCAAACCCAGCAAATATCAAAGGGGCTAGAAAAATTGATTAACAAGGACTAAGTATTTTTGAAATCTCTACTGTGAGGGCTATGCAATGACACAACAAAAGCCTATAAGTATTTTAAAGACTACAAAAATATCAAGATGAGAGACGGAACATAAAACAGAAAGAGAAAGCTTATAATAAACATCAAAGAAAGCACTGAGAGGTACAGGGGTATGTCAGCTAAAAAGCAAACAGTTCATCACATTCAAAAGCAGAGAAGACATTTGGAAGCAGTTGTGTTTATTTCCCCACTGAAACTCAGTAATCCAGTATGTTACCAAGGTTATGATGGATCTATTACTGTCTTCTCCAATAAAAAGCAAAATTATTCAAGTCTAGATTTCACTTTCAGAATGCTTTCCATCTGGTATGAAAGATTCAGCCTTAATAACTCTATTTTCATATCCCAGAGTATGGCCTGACATCCAGCAACTGCGCTCTGCAGCACAGCGCAACAGCTGACAGGGAAAGGCACAGAGCAGCTTTCCGGGAGCTCCACCTTGCACACAGGGAGCCCATTCCCACCTTCCTGCCTAAGGCCTCACCAAGGGTCAGCTGAAGGACATGGAGTTCCCCAGGCTTAGAGGGGCAGGGAACAGAGAGATCATGCAAGACTTCTTTCACAGCATGTTGGCTCAGGCAGGGAGCTGACAAAACAACATTGATTTGGCTAATGATTGTCACCACAAATGAGTCAGAAGTTCAGCACTTCTGCCAGGAAAAGAAAAAAATCCTTATTATTTTAGTAAGAATTCCACCAGTAGTTCCAGGATAAAAAAAGGGGGAAGGATGCTACCCTCCCTTCCAGCTAGCCATACCACACAAGGAAACTCAACCCTCTGTATCAAGTTATTACTACTGCTCCTGTTATTTAGGCAACAAGAGCAAAGTCACTTTTCTCTTGCTTCTCTTAAATTTTGTAATTCATTTATCAGCTGTACCACACTATTTCTAAAGGTTTCGGAGAAAATATATCCTGATAATACCTACTGAATTCTCAGAAGAGGTGCTGAGCTATTTTTTAACCTTTGTTGCAGGTTCTCACATAGAAGGATCATTCTGCGTCTCGGAACAATGGTTGGCAAAAGCAGAGGACAATACTTAACCCCGCTCCTTTCATTCAGGAAGAGAGCAAAATACACTCAGTGATGAGTATGATTCTAGTTTGCCTCAAAAAAACATTATCTCAAGAGAGGTATGAGAGAAATAAATCCTAAATAAAGCTGTAAGTTCTTATAGAAACATATTTTGAAAGATAAATGTGTAAGCAATTCTGAACACAATGTGCTTTTTCGCATTTCTTTCTTTCTCCTCTGACCTCCAGATAATTTGCCACTTCCATATCTGCTGTGGGAAGACTGAGCTGGGTAGGCCTACCTGGGCAGGTATTTTTAAAGGGGCTGCATGGGCTGGTAGTATCAAATTCCCTAATCTGTTTTTTTGTCTCTAGACCCAGTGGACCAGATCCTTCAACTAAAACAGAAGGATCATGTCGTGGACCCAGGTTCTCATAGCTATTTCCACTGTCCTCTGGTCATATGTTTAATACAACAAAGGAGTTAGTCTAAGCCTCCCTCCAGGATAAAGTTTTACAGAAATCTATTGTTCTTGAAAAAGCAGCAATGCTCCCACCTGACTTTAGAAGATCCTTTCTGGCTCTCCCACGGTTTCCAACATACATGGCCATAATCTGAAGGGACCTGTGGTGATTTACAGCACCTGAGCTCCATTCACCTCACTTTCAATTTACATCTTGCTACAGAAGACATACACCCTCATACTGATACAATCACCTAAATGCCTGTAAATAGTCTGTCACAATCACATATCTAGCTCTACACATCACACGGAAACATACTCAAGTTACAGACTGACACAATCCTTTTTGTAAGTTTGGTGATGTCTGAGCTTGCCCAAGTTAGAAACGTTAAAATTAGTGCAACGTGTCTGACCAGCAGAGCAGCTTCTACACTGATCTGGCTTGTATAGGTGCTGAGAATTTCAGGAACAAATTGCACTAAAAAGAATATCTAATAAATGGTTTATTGCTGGCAGAACAAAAAGGATTTTTATCCACTTGCTAGACAGGGTTAGGACTGTTTGGTTTTGCATTTATGTAACTACTTAATCTTGCAACGCACTACTGCATATAGAATTAATTTGCAACTGTCTTTTCAAATTAAACTAATGGACTTGTGAGATAAAACACTGGACCTGCCTTAAACATAGCATTAGAAGCTACCAACCACCTAGGAAAAACAATCTGTTTTCTTCCCAAACAACTACTTTTTTTTCTGAAAACTGAGGCTAAAAAGATAAAGGCTGGATTTAGTCTACTTGTTCCTCGGCACAAACTCCCACAGCTCCTTTTATCATGCCACATCTTTAGAAAAGCAGCAATAATAATAGTGTGTCTTTTCCAAGAACAAGTGGCAATGGATGTTTTTAACAACAGTGTAACAGTAGAAAGTCAACCAACAGCGCATCCAAATTCTAATCTACATTAAAAAAATCCACAGCCTTGTTATTGCTTCAGCTAATCAGAAAACAAATCCACCATTCTGCTTGTGTAAACTCATATAGTCAACTCTCAATCTGCAAGCAACAAAAGAGGTTTAGACTTTAGAGTAGCTTAACTGTATGGAGGAAAGTAAGTTCATATGGTCTGGAAAGTCTCATTTACTGATAATAAAATCATCACTAGGTCAAAAAACTCCCAAATATCAAAAGCAGAACTTCTTCCCTGAATGAAACATTTACCCCAAAATCTCACATTCTTTACCCAATAAATCTCACTTTCCTCAAACAACAATCTTCAAATCTAACTGTGTCCTCCAAACATGCTCTTTGTGAAGAGAAAGATTTCTACCTTGTGATTTATGTGAAACTTTTTGTTGTTACAATTCTCTCTAGCCCCACTTCCTTCTCAACTTCCTACTTTGAATGGAGAAATGTCTTTAACAAGAGCACCCATCCATACTAGTACCGGTTTATGAACCTATCCATTTATCTTGTACACTGACCACACTCTCACCTCCAACCTTCTCCAATAGATGGGCAGTTTCTTGCCCATTTTCAGAAGTCAGAAGTCTTTACTTTTAACTCTTTACATGGCAAATAAGTGCCCCCAACAACAGTTAATGCATCTCAAATAAAGGATGTCTTTCCTTGACGTCCTTTCTGCATTTCCCTTTTTCACCTTAGTTTTTGCATGTCTTAGGTGCTCCTACTTGTAGTGGTTCCCATTCCTCCTAGTCCTTACAAGCTTCTTTAATCCAACTAAAGCCAAATGTGACAAAAAGAAGGAGCATACCACATAGGAGTGTTTTTGAGGCTCTTCACTCAACTTGACCAGGATTTATCTTTCTTTTTTTTTTTCCTCTAAAGCATCTTGAACTGTCTACGACACTACAGTTCTGAGCGCACTTGTGATCTCAGACAGACATGGAGTGTCACTTCCCTCCGGGACCTGATCTTCTGTTGGGCAGAGAATACCAGTTTGTGCATACATCCAACCTCTACTCCCGAGGTTATATGTGACCCATTGGGCACGCAGACAAAAGAACTGTATCTCCTTGTGAAGGCTTATCTCAAGAAAGCTCATACTCAATAGTTGAAAGCAGAGACTAGCATCAGAAAGCAAAGCCATCATTGCGGTGATATTTGAGAGCTGCAACAGACTGTACATGATCAAAGAGAAATACAAAGTTATGAAAGAACTTTGCAAAAAAAGAAAGAGCACGCAAAATAGAACACCAGGAAGTGATAAAGTACCAGGACGTAAAAGGCAAAGATTGGTTATACCTGGAATTAACAAAAGTTTTCTCTGGATGTTTTTCTTCTGATGTTACATTAGCAGTAAGAAGTGAGTAAGCAGGGATTAGCCCTTCTTTAGCACTGCTCTGTGCAGGAACTTCTCTTGCATCACAGGACAGACAGACACAAATTGACTGAGCTACCATCAGATAGATCTGGGCTACATTTTCACCGCTTTAGAATCCCTTTAGCTGATAAGGCATTTGCTGTCTCAAGGCTATTAAGTGTAGCTATAAACTGCTCCTCTACTTCTGTTGCCACATCACTAAGAATTATGCAATGGAGTCCGTCTAGTATCTAAGTTATCAATTTTCAAAATGAATCATCTATTCTAGTGCAATACAGTTTACTTCAGTACTACTCCTTCTTTTCATGAAAGGTGTCTGTCTGTTGCTGGCATCTGGTCCTGATGTGCTTTTGAGAAGCCTGAATAATCCCTGATTACCAGTAGTGACTCAGGGTTTTAAAAAAAAAAAAACCACAGAAGAAAGGGGGGGAAACTGAGCATAAAATCAAGGAACACTTCCTAGCTCTGATTTTCATATACTGTATAAGGACAATAATATCAGAATGTCAGAAAATGTGTCAAAAATTATTATATTCTACCATGATAGGAACTGCACAAGCCACAAAGAATTCTGCTGATGAGCAGAAGAGCTAAGAGTAAACAAACTCTCCTTGAAAGTTCAGTTCAGATTAAAAAAAAATATACATAGTAGCAATCCAACTGTGTTTATCTCCTTCAACTTTTGGTTAAATAACTGTAGGAGCAACAGCTATCACTTGTAGGACACAGGCTGCTAGCTTGAGAAAAATATAACATTAACCTTTTCAGACCCTTTCCTAGGTGCAACATTTATTATCCCCACCAGTGTTCATTAAAAAATTCCTACATAACAACCAATTATCACAAATCTCCTCCAGTTCAAGGATGTTCTTCCTCCCTGCAGCTTTTCTTTAGCCATCCCTAAAGACTTCCTGCTAGAAGTGTCCCCTGTGATATTATGGTTCATCTTAAACCTGAGCAGCAAACCAATCCTTGCCTAGCAGAGGCAGACATGTCTCTGTCAACCTCAGACTTTAATTTGAAAATGTAATTTTTCTCTAATCACGTACCTGTCTTAAAAACTGAAGAATCCGCCAATTAACCACGACAATGAATTTTCTGTGAAAATGTATCTTCTTTCCCTTTTCCCTGAAACTCCCCCCAACCTATGACTTTTCCACAGCTTGGTAAGTTCTGTTTTACTTAGAAGTCATGCCACCTACTTGTTGGTTTGTCTTTGATGTTGTATGACCATGTTTTTTTCATGGATGGTTTCCAGCAATGCAGTGGCCAGTGATTTGAGATCTGAAATGGACTGTGGTGTGGCTGGTAGGCTACATCCATGATCCTCCGACAACAACTCTTGGACTATAATGTTAAAAACACAAATGAGTTTTGGCTTCTCTATGCACAGAGATGCAACACAAACATTGACTAGTATTAAAGAACTATTCTCATTATTTAAATGAATACATGTATTTTTCTTTCAATTAACAAACAAAGTGAAAAAGGCCAGAAATATAATTTCTAGCTGGCATAAAGATGGTGGCTTTCCAAGCTGATTGTTATTTCATAGCAAAAGCCAGAACAAGTATAGGCAGACACATCTTACATTAACTCAGTTCTACTTTTGGAAAATTATTTGTGTTCAGAAGGAAACAAAATCATTCTTTTACAGCCCTACAGATTGGTCCAAACTGGTCATTTCTTTCCCGCTTACATTACAACTGAAGCCCACAAGGAAGCTTTTATATTACTTTTTAGAATTATTATATCCTTCAGGTTATTTAAGGGTGATGTGAAAATACAGTCACCCGTGAACTCTTCCTCTGCAGCTTAGAGTCTGTACCTCTCAGCCACATCAGGAATTTCACAAGTATTGTTAAATTCTGTAACTAGAACCTGGCTCTGTCTCTCTCTCCCTCTATATATATATGTATGTATGCAAGTACATGGAGAAGAGCACAAAAGAGAAGTCAAAACCAGAAAAATGAGTTTAAACCTACCATGACACCACTGACCTTGTGTGTGTGAATGAATATACCTACATCTAAAAAGGAGGGCACAAGATATAGTTTGCCTCAAAGAATTTTCTCTTCCCCACTTTTCCTAATTTTGGTATTTTCTTTTAAACGGGGAAAAGCGATTACTCCATTTTGCTACCCATGAAGAAACATGGGATACAAAGATTTCTCATAAAACATACGAATGTAAGAGCTTCCAAAAACAGTAGCAGAAAACCTGACTTTAGGCCCCTCAGCCAGTCTATTTTTATTTGGAATGTGAATTGTGACTGCCATTGTTACCAAAGCAAAGAGATGAATAAAGTGATTTGTCAGGGTCAAAGCTGCAGAGGGGGTTAGAGAGTAAAGAAAATATTTGGTAAAACTGATGGGGGAGAGAATGAAGGGCAAAAGAATTAACAAAAGAAGAAGCAGTAATCAAGAGGCAAATTTTATATTGTCAAGTCAATGAAGAGAAGGACAAGAATTAGCACATAATAATAAACAGGGAAAGAGAAGAGAGCTTTTGGTTTGATTGGTGAGGAAAGAGTTACTGAAATTAGGAGGTAAGATGAAAAGAATTCAATGAGATACGCAACATCATGCTGCAGTTACGCAATACCTTGCTTTGCAGAAAGGACTCCAGTCAAAGCACTGCTACTGGATCTACTATGAGTCTTTGAATTTTTTCGTCTCTCTAGTGCATTCTAGGGAAACAATAAATATCTTATTTAGAAAAACAGTAGCCAACAAATCCTGTCATTAGGAGAAAAGAGTCTGGAATTTTGGATTTTGGTCTCAGAACAATGCTGCAGGGCCTAGAGCTTACACCCATAGAAGCTATAAGCATATGACTCTCCTAGAGAGAATTATTCTTCAGCCAAAACAGTCTCTGCAATGTTACAAAGACTCATTCTGTTTCATTGCAATCATTTTACTGTAATCTCTCCCACCCACTCCCCACAATGTATTTTTAAGACTTGCCTATTTTTTAATAATAGCGACAGTGAACATACTGCAGTATCCTGTAGAGAATATTGGTTGGAAACAAACTCAGACTTTCCCCCACCTTTCTTTGGATAGACTTCAAAGGGAAAGCTCAAACTCCTCTATCAGAGTTTCTAGAAGCCCTTTTAGCAGCAAATACTGACTGTCAGGAATTAGAAGCAGAATGATAGTGCTACAGAAGTCCAGCTCTTTCAAATACAGTTCAGTGAAACCCACCAGACCACGAAGGTGCTCAGTTCTCACCAATAAACTGACTCACACTCCAAGAGACTCAAGTTGTAAGCACGAACAGAGGCTGAAATGAAGTTGGTACTATGAGGAGCTTTGCTCGTGCACAAAAAGCAGTGAGTGCTGTGACTGCTTTACAGTGACCTAAATGAAGAAGTCCTATTGACAATCCTAAGGTTATCCTTCTCTGCTCTGACAAGTAGCCCTCCCCTCCCACTCCCCAAAATCAGAAGAAAATAAGAGGGCATAGCTTCAGGGAAGAGCAAAACTCAGTCCTGAAGGTTTCATGTAAAACAGCATATACCTTAACCTGGGAATAGAAGAACAATGAAGGCTTAGTGATTATTAAGATACATGAAGAAATAGCACAGCCATTAGGGGACAGGGAGACAAGATTTTCTTGTGACAGCAGCACAGCTGCAGTCATTCACCACACACTGCACAATCTACTACTTTTCACCTACCAATTGGCTGGAAGGCTGATTACCTGCCCCTGGAAAGAGGAGAGTTCCCCCACAGAACTTAAAAAAGGTATTTAATTAATTTTTCAAAATGCTGTTAATAGGTATCCCTTTGTACTACCATCAGCTAAGAAGCCTATGAGGAAGACTGAGCACGTAATACATATACATAATAATATTGTCAGAATGTCAATGGTGGATTTTTCTTGCAAGACACAAATTTGCTCTTTAAATACATATAACATGAAAATGAACAATAACTTCCATGAACCATGAAGCACAGTTTAGATGATACACTGAGAGAATCTTACCTTATATTTAGTAATACTAGACTTAAGAAGGTTGACTTCTTCTTGAAGTTGTTTTAATCTCTCTTGAAGATACCTGAAAAAGAAGTAATCCTTTACTTCATGTTACCTTCAAGTACCGCCTTAAGCAGTCTTCTTTACTACTTGGCATGTCCTCTCTTTGAACTACTGAGAGTTCTTTTCCCTCTGCAGTTCTGTGAGGGATATAATAACAGAAACTTACTGCTCTTGACCCCATAAAACTTTAAGTACGGAAACAAATTGCATCAGAACAGGAGGCTGCCCTCCTGTTAGATTTGTCAAGCATGCTGCACAACTATTTTATATTGGTCCTCAGGTTTCTGGGGAGGAAAGCTAAAAGAATATATTTACGTCTAGAGGAAATAGTCAGGAAGCATTTATGTGTGTCCTCTGTACTTGAAGGCCTGTGAGATGGACACATGAAGATTTGTATATATGTCAACAAAAGACTCGGCTGTGCAGAACTTTTGCATTGCAATATCCATCACTTACTTGGCACTTCTCATTGGCAATCACAAAGTAGAAAATTTAACAATATAGTTGAAAAATGGTACACAGTTAAATGAAACAGTACAGTTCTTCCTAATACAGTTTATGCACTTGGATTAGACAGTTATTTCCACATAGGAAAATATATTTTTTATGTATAAAGGATTTATAAAATATTCTCTTTCACGTAGTGCAACTGCAGCTGTGCTAGGGTTAGTGACAATTTAATTATTTTAGGAAAAAAAAATCATGCCACTTTCAGGGGAGCAGGGGGCTTAAATTCATACAGAATTCCGTAGGACACACAAAACTGAAAAAAACCCTGAAGCTGCTGGGAGGAAGTAATGCCTTTGGTATTAAGACTTTCTTACCTGAAGCATAAGTCTTTGTAAATGAAAAGTGTCTTACAAGTTCTATTTCAGTTTAAGGTAATTGTTGACATTAAGGGAGGTACCTGCTATGGCTCTGTCAGTGATTTCTCTCTGTCATTCTTAGTGGAGACCATAAAACATATTCTTTTCCCAAGGAAGTGCCAAGAATATGTGGGTGATTTCACCAGCAAATTCTGTTGGTAGATCATACTGACCACCTCTCCCTGTGGTGAAAATTATGTCTGAAAGTATTAACTCAGAGTACTCAAAGTCCTTGTTTTCAATCCAAGACTAGCCCATTACAGCTCACTAGGAGTTTCTCAAGACACAAATTTTTAATATTCTTTCTTTTGGTGCCATACAGTGACGTGAATAAAAAGGTCTGAATGTCTCTTCCTTTTCAATGTTTAGCTCTATTTGGGAACATCACTGACATCTCTGTAGCCAAATACAATATTGGTAACTTTCTGCAGCCTAACTTTCTCAATATTTGCTGCTTAGTTACAGTACAAACAACAACAATTACCAAAATCTCTTAACGTGTATTCTTGGATAAATTTTCTCTGAAGTTTTGTTGTGACTGACTACCTGATGCTCCTATTACAGTAATGCACTGTATTTTCTAGGGAAATGGTAAGGTTTGCAATGCACTCACCTGTTCTCCATACATAAAGCATCTACGTCGATGATACGGTTTTCGTGCCCTCCTAAGACATGATTCAGCTCTTGGTTTAGTCTGTCAGACTTATCTTGGTAAAAAGAACGTTCCTCTTTCACATCATGTAACTCATCCAGTGCAGCCTGAAGATCATATCTCAGAGTCTCAATCTGAGAAGAAAGGAGAGCTGCATCACTCTTTTAAAGCTTAAACAAAAGATTACATAGCACCCAGCCTGAAAACAGCAATAAGCACATGTTTGAACAGGATTGATTTTGGACAGTCAGAAGTCTTTTCAAAGCTCATAACCTCACTCTATTTCACTTTCACTCTATTTTGGTAATATTTCATTAATTTAAGTTAAGTAACTTTACCAGTTAGATTTGTTTTACAAAATTTCTAGAAAACAATTAAAATGTAACAGCAAAAGAAACATCAATCCCTACTATAATTCTGCTACAAACATATTAAGCTCATCTTAGCATATAATTTCTAGGACTATAGGAATTAAGTCAACTGAATAAGAATCTGCCAAATGAAAAAAAGGTCTGTAAGTGTGAATTTATACTCATATGGGACTTGAGCAATGAAGTTTCACAGAATAGGAAGAAGAACAGAAAAAGTACAAAATAAGCCAGCATGGAGGCTACACGGTGAGCTCTGCTATCAAGCAGAAGGGTGAAGAAGTCCAGTATGAAAGATACTCAAGGACAAAGAGCTTCAAGCTTCCAAGGAGATGAAACTGTGAGTGTGAGAAAAGTCTGCAACGAATTCAGAAGTCTCCATCCACACCTCAGAAAACACGGATAAGCCAGGAAGGACAACAGACCATCATACGGAAAGAGGCCAGGTGATGAACAGAAAGAGAATGAGCTTGGGAACAGAGTTAGCAGAGAGGATCACCCTGGAAGAAGCCCAACAGCCTTTCTGGTAAGGCAAAACGGTGCTGCAGTTCAGTGAAGACTGAAAAATCAGAAATATGAACCTTTCCTGGATCACAGAATGGCTCATTCAAGGTGGAACTGATAGGTAGGAATGAGTGTGGGAACAACAGAGAATATAACCCGCCCAAACTGCCCAGAAACTTATGTATCCATATTAGGGAAAGAGTCTGATGAATTGGATGCTGCATGGTACATAGTATTAATACAGACTTGAGGCAGGGAAAGGAGGACTGATGTGAGAATTTTTCCAAAGAGGGGAAGAAATAGCTCAGAGGCAGGAAGAAGATGAGACTAACAACAGTTCTACAGAAAATTTGATTCAGAGACTATCTTTAGGAGATATATCAGCCACTGCATACTGTGTTGAATACTTGTAACAGCTTTCACTAAGGGGTCCCTTTCACTGACATTAATTGACAATATTCAATTGTCACAAATTGTCGTTGGACATTACTACGAAAAAGGAGAATCAATAGTCTAGAGAAGGCATTTCTGAGACTAGGTACTCACTCTAACCATGTATGCATGTTTAAACTAGTGCTCAATAAGGACTATTTAAGTAAAAATCCCAACACCTTCCCCACTATTTGCAATGTTAATCAGCTACCAGCCCTTCAAATACAACAGAAGCCATTTACTTGCTACTGCACTAGCTCTGGAAAACATGACACTGTATGCCCATTTAATTATTACCTGTTCTCGAGCCTTCTCCAACTGTTGAACAAGGTCTTCCCGTTCATGTGCTGCGAAGTGACGAGCCCCAACTTCATCATCTCCAAGTCTTTGCTTTGCTATAGTCATTCGAAGGAGCTGCCATGACAAAACCAGGATTTGGTAAGCAAAAGAACACAGACTGCAGCAGCAGAGTACATCTGTATTAGAAAGAGTAAAGGTGTCCTAGATTTCAGCTCTTCCAGGCCAAAGAGTTGATATTATTTAAACCAGAGGGAATCTTCTGAGCTGAGGGCTCAATCCTGTTCTCAGTGAAAAATTCCAGTTGAATGGTCAAAGCATTGATAGGAATTGAACCAGACCCTGCAACAACAGTCACTAGAGTATACAAATGATAAGAGACCAAGTAAACACAGACACATGGTCAATGTATTTTAGGAGTGACAGGAACTAATTCCAGTCAGACAAAAACTAGAGAATTACCAGAAAGCCCTTTTCATATGTAAATATTAAAACTGTCTGCAGCAGAGAATTCTTCCTATTTAATAAAAGAGCATGAAGTGGCTTGCCCAGCTTCATTTTACTTAAAAACCCCTCTATGCTACATTAGTGCAAAATTTGTATTAACAGCTGCTAAGACGTTTGCTTATGCATTAGTTTTTTAATCTACTCACAAAAGTTAATTTATGTCGAAAACAAAAAATGGGACAACAAAAGGACTCAGCCAAAATGCTCAAACAGCTAATGAACTCATGAGCTTTGTGACTGCTGAAAACAGCCTAATTTGAATTACTACACATTTATGTTCAATATCCAAAGCAAAAAGCAACGACCTTTCAAAACCCATGAAGTATTAAATACCAATCTATAAGGCATTCAGCATTTACAGTTGTTTATACTGAGTACATCTAGGCAAAAGTGTTGCCTCCCCATGGCCTCATTTGTAGGAGCTCCATAGAGACTAGAGAAACCCACTACAGTAACCAGCCTGACTTTCCCTGTATCTTTGACTGCACCAAGGAATTAATGTACATCATTATATTGCAGAAATAGAAAAAAAAATCAATCTTCTGAAGTAGAAGATTGTACATTAAAATCTGTCTTTGGTATTTATGGGATGCCAGTCACCATAGCTGCAATGTGCCAATTAAAATCCTGCTGATGCAAGACAGACTACCAAAATCATCCTCCTCACTTATTTCAGCTCCAGTTCAGCACAAGTCACTGAAGCCAGTACAACATGTTCTGATAAGCAGTTCACTTGTTCAGGGGAAGCTATGGCCACAAAAGTAACTTGTTTTGGCAAACTACATTTCCCTATCCCCACAAAGAAAATACAAACCAAACCGCTGCACAGTTAGTAAGGCTGAATGGATCCTAGGAGATATAACTCCTACTAATTTCTTTATCAAATCAAATAAGTCAAAAAGGCAACTAGCAAATCCTGGAATGGCTTCATAGCTACTGGATTGGTTTTTTTAAATGCTAAAAGTCTAATGAACAAAAGGTGTGGTAACATGATCTAATTCAGCTACAATAATTTAATTTCTAGAATCTCTCACTAGTTAGAAAGGCCACAAGAAAAAAAATGTAATAACATTTTAAGGTCTCAATCTTGTCCAGAAAAACTGGAAATAGGAAGGGGAATAACACTTTACTAATGCCTCCAGTGCCTGCAGCAGAACAGAACTTCTGTGTAATGCTCGACACCAGGCTGGGAACTGATCAGAGCTGTCACTCATGCACTATGACCAATTTTTCTCCAGCCCAGGAGTGGGTGAGGCATGAGATGCAATTATAACCACAAGCAATTATAACTTGCAAGGTCAAACAGTCTGCCAATAAAAGGAGAACACTTTATTTACTACTAATTTTGAGGGGGGAGAAAAAAGAAAGAAAAAGAACATGAAGTCTTATGAAAAGAACGCTTTCCAAATTCAGCCAGTAAAAGCCGCATTATTAACATACATAAAATAAAGTAAAATACCAAACCATAAAACAACAGAGTGCTTCTTCCAGACAGTTGGCCAATCAGAGAGTTGACAGGGCAGAACAGGCCAAGTCGTTTAATTCTGCATTGCGAATGTCTCATGAGGCAGCACCACCTGCTATAAAATTTTTCCCTGAAAACGCTGTGACCCAAAGAGACACTGTTATGCCAGAGGTTTAAGGGTTTATTTCATATTAGTGCTCTGTTACAAACTTTATACACTTGCCCTCTGGCTGCTGTATTTTTATTTCTGTCATTCAGAAATCACTGAGGAAAGGAACGCTCAACTTCATTTTGCACCTAGAGAATAGGTGAACACTACCTCAGGATTCTGTGAACAGCATTTACAGCTGAGTGGATTTAAATTAATGGCACCTTACAGAGAGAGCTCCTGTTTGTCAAGAACCCATAGATTGTTAATCAAAACAATCCAGTGCTGCAAGCCACTAGTCTTTTTATTTTAATATCACAGCTTTTTCTTAATAATTTTCAGCTAAACAAGCTTCACTGGGATAGCTGCTGTGCAGTCCAGGAGTCCACAGACAATGCCTGCGCTGAAGTTGGACACTCCTAATTATCAATAAAACATGCAGAAGGAAGAGGGAAACAAGCAAAACCACTAAATTCTTTGTGGAAGGCAGAAACTACCATGTTTAGCCACAGTCACTGACAGCAATTGTCTTCACCACGTTGACTACAAAATCTTAAAAAGTGGACCAAAACTATGCAAATGTGCTACCTTAAGTCCCAGTTCTGCCAAAACACACACGCCACATTTAACATTTCCCACTGTTGCTGCATGAATGATTGTCTGCCTGGCAATAAGGAACTGGCAGTAACACCGCAGCCATTGTTTCCTGTGCACCTTCCTCTTGCTTAGCGCTGCTCTCAGCAGCTTACAAAAGCCATTCTTTGCGTAGGTAGGAATTCAAGGAAGGCAACTGAGTCATCTAGTCTTGCAGAAGTCTCCACTTTCTCCTGAGCTTTCCATTTTTTCCCTTTTACAAGAGAGAATTAGATTTCCTAACTATCTCCTTCTAACGTTTTAGTAATTGTTTTCAAGCATTGCAGCCAAGACATTAGGAAGGAAAAAGATTTACAAATAACTATCACAAACATAGAAGAGTTTTCATGTGTCACAGCTAGTGAGATTGTGATCAATCATAAAAATAAATAGTCTTAGATATCTGTTGCTGGAGCGCTGCAGTCTAACTATTGCTGCATTTTTCAAACTGCAGCAACAAACCCTCCCAGAGACTGTCTGAAGAAGTTCTATTATTTGTGCCAAAAAAATTTTAGTTAAATTAGAGGAAAAAATTAGTCCAGTTAAACCAAATGCAAGCAATTTGTTATTGCCTAACTGATGATGTACTTAACATGATTTCAACAAGTAAAATGTCTCTGGTTTAAGGTCTCCTTCTAATCCAAGTGACTGCACCCTACTTGTAGCAAAAATTAAGGCGGTGAAAAACAAGTCAAGCCATGAAAACATTTCCTTATCAATAGAGCTGATGTGTGATATTTAAAGAGGTTCTTTTTCTTTTTTAGTCCTGCAAAGCTCTTGCCACTGTGACAAAGCCTGCATGAGTCACCTCTGCTCAGACACAGGCAGAATTGTTCATCCATAAGCAGCTTCACTTGCTGCAAAAGCAGCTGTTTGTTCATCTCTTGCCAGAAGTAAGGCTGACGTAGACCAGCTGGGCAGGATGCCCTCCCTCACTTTGGAAAAAGCAGTGAGAAGGATGCAGGGGAAAAATGTAAGAACAAACAAATTATTATAGTTCTTTGTTTTTGTATATACCATACATTATCCGGACTCCAGTGCCTGAAGTAGCCCAGCTGCCAGTACAGGAGAACTGATGAGCAGAACAGAATGGCTTTGGGAACAAGACTAGAAATTTATCACTGAAGCTTGTAGAGAAAGAAATCTGACACAGGAGGAGAGTGTTAAATCCCTCAGAGAGATGGCAATGCTTTTTTAGGCATTTTGAAAAACAGCAACCTGACTCTAAAATAAGCTCTATTTCTCATTTACTAGGAAAGTGAATAATGTGTTCCAAAAATGAAAATCCTAGTCTAAATTAATCCGTGTCTGATGCAGCTCTTTCCTCTGACACTTTATTTAGCGATGCACTGTTTTGCACCTTTCAGAGAGGGGCACACTGGGCAGAATAAGTCTTTTTGTACTTTTCCATTTGTTTTGAGGATAATGAATTTAAATTCATGCTGAGAATACCAGCATGATCAGCTAATACCAAGTTAACCCACAAAGGTGAACATAAACAGCACCAGTTCAAGTACAAAGAAGTAGGCTCTATGTTACCAAGATCATATTGTCTCATAATGAATTAGAATTGGTACATAACCTTGATATTTAAATATATTGTAGTTTTACTACCTTTGTGTTCTGTTTGCACCTACAAACCCTTGTATCTATTCAGGACTGGCTTAGGAAAGGCTATATGGCATACCTTTGGTACTGTGGAATTGCACGGCACTGACTTCTACACCATAATACAGTTCAAACAGTAAAATGCAAATGAAAATAAACACTGGGAAATCTGGTCCTTGAAGACTTGAGCAAGTTACACTGAATGCCATGCACACTACAAATTCAGGTCTTGCTTGACCCTTTCCCAGCTCCCTGAACACATTCAGGGGAGTTCTTTGTGAAAAACAATGAATAAAACTGCATAATCACAATATACTTATGTATAAAAGAAAATAACTAAACTTAAATGGAAAGAAACCCCTCCATCTGACTAATTAAAAGTCACACCATTTTTATTCGCATTTTAAAATCCTATGATTTTAAAACTGTAGTCGAGGGAGAGAAGTTATAACTAATTATTTGTTTCAATTTTTTACTTTGTTAAACACCTCGACTCTCCAATTCAACCTCTCACTAGTTTGATCTCTGAATGTACTTTTGCATTAAGCTCCAGCTGTGAATGTTACACACATTTGGCTTGAGTTTAAATATTTCAATTAATGGAGACAACAGGAGCTTGATTAATACCAAATGGCAGATTTTGAGCAATGTTCCATATAACTTGCTAAATATAGCAATGAAATAAATTGGTTATGTAAGGGTAATGGGATGAGGGCTTAATACAAAGCTCAATATATATGTTTGTGATCAACTCCTCCATATTTTTTAAGGGAAAAATTATGGCTGCTCTGGTTTTATCATCTACTAAAATTTTGCATTTACAGTGCAAAAAATTAAAAATTATCGCATGATGAAGAAGACATGCTTATCTGTACTTATCTGTAAGAGGAAATATCACTAATAAAATATATTTTAAAAAATAGAAAGGGAAAAAGAAAGTCTGAGAGCATTAAAGTAAGGCTAGGTACAAAATACATAGCTAAGGACAACTGAGCAAAAGCAGCATACAAAAACATATAATAAGCTGCACTTACTGGTATCCCGTACAAGCTTCTTTTGTTCTACTGTTCTAAGCATTTATTGTAATTAAAGTAGAAGTTCTGTAGTCCATTGTTTTATTTGTTTTCCTAAGAAGCAAATGCAAAATTCCAGCCCAGTTTACACATTCCACGCCATTTACTAGTAAAAAAAGTTTGTAATACCTTATTGTCCCCTTGTACTTCTCCCAGTCTCTGCTGAAGCTCTCTAATCTCTTCTCCAAGGTGTTTATTTCGATCTTGAGCCTCACTCAGTAGTTGAGCAAGATTTGCCTAGAAAAGGAGTAAATATCAATCATAAGTCAGAAGTGTAAGTGGTGATTGAAAAGAAACTCTAGAATTACTTCTTAACTGCCAACAATCTTTACTTTATTGTTGTTGGTACCCAGACTTCATGCTTCATTAGAGAGAAAACAAAAGTCACCTGGGTTCCTTTATCCTTAATAGAAAATACAAACAGTATGTGGAGATACAGACTCCCAGCACAGCACACAAACCCCAAACAAGACAGAGCAAAAACATCTATGCTAGTTCCAGTATCTTGGCTGGTGGGAAGAACAGAATGCAGAGTTACTTAGACAATATTTATACAAAGCTGCCAAAATAATAGTTTTAACTTGCATATAATTAGACAAAAGGCACAGCTGAGAAATAACTATGACACAATTAAATTCCTTACGTGTTTAGAGCAGATTCCTAGCCAGTTAAGAGGATGTCAGCCGAAGTCCCTGCCCCTGTACCATCGATATCTAGTAGTACAAAACTTCAAATGTGACCTGATTTGTGTTGTTAGCTAGCACAGATTCTTGAAAAATAGAAGTGAAAGCTAGAACTTAAAAACAAACACCACCACCATCATCCTCCAAATAATCAGGTCAAAAGTTATCATTCGCATTAACCTACTAAGTTAGCAGGGCAAGCAGTCTGGTCTATAATCTAACAATTAAATTCCATCACCTTGATCTCTACCAAAAAATAAATGCAATCTCTTCCTTTCCTACTTATGATATCTGAAAATAAGCAAATACTACAGATAAATTTATTGTATTTTATCCTAACAATGTCTCACAAATACACAAGCATTGACTCAAGACAGGAAAAACCTGCTGACAACATGTCATCATCAGAGAGCTCTAATCATAGTGGCTAAGGTGCAGCCTTTCAAGACATTGCCTGTGGACAGCTCTGTGTGTCATCCATTGCCATAAATCTCAAAAGTATAAAAAGAAATTAAAAAAGAATTTCTAGATCTTCTAAGCATGACTTGGTAAAGTCTCATGAGTCGGGATCTCTGAGCTACCCTTCCACGTACTCCCTGGATTTGAGGCCAGTGCATTAACTGGCTGTTCCTAGCTCTTTCATGGTATTTTAGATTCAGTTTTAGATTCCCTACTTCCCACTTGCTGTGCTTCTCTTCCAACTCCCCCATTTCTCTGTTCTGATAACTCTCTCTCTTTTTCAGTCTTGCTCTTTTACCCAGTCATTCTCACTACCGCTTGACAGTCTCCTGGGATGTTTTTGTGAGCTTTATCTTTACAACTCATACACTATCAAACCAACAAGGTATCTAATAGCCATTACTGCAATCTGCCCCCTTGTCTACTAACAACTGTTATTTCCACGTCTTGCTTTATATTTAAGAGAAATATTAGGATGAATCTATTAAGATGGATATTGACATGAACATAGCCATGCATGCATCTGACCATTTGCAGGATTAGACTATTAAACTATAATCAACTGCAATTTTTGTACACTACTATATGAAGAAGCCAACTCCACATTCCAGTTGGTCTAAATTAGCAATAGCTTCAAACTTTTAAATAGGAAAAATAACTTGAGAAACTGACACATCCTATTTGATGAACAACAAGCCTGTACTTCCAATTCTGTACTTCCAATACTTTGAGACCAAAAGTTCAGAAGAGAGCAAGGTAAATCTCCCACAGTTTAAAGCATTTTTAAAACTACTGACAAATGTGAAGACTGTAAATAAATAATTTGGAAAAAGAGTGTAATGGCAATGCCCCTCCTCCATAAATAATCAACTACAGGACAAAAACTAAGCTGCCTCTAATTTTATTTTCAAGACAACAACCATTCAAGCAATGCAAAAGGTTTCTCAAGTATGCTTTAGTGGAATGATTTTTTTCTGTACATGATAAACAAATGTGTAATAGCCATTTACACAACGAATGAATAAAGGATCTTCAGAACACATTCAATCAATGGTTTTAGAAGTACTTCTTAAAGGCTCTCTAAAAGAAAGAAGACAATGAACCCATGTTTGCACGAAATTGTATTTAAACGGAAGTATCTATGGCTACTGCTTAGATGAAATTTTTTAGGTATTTTTTTAAGGAAGCTGACTTTCAATAAAGCCTGAGTTAGTTAAAAGGAACATGATTTGCACAAACTTCTCTGAAACACTTCTATTTATAAAGTCCCTTTTTATGATGAATTGGAACAACTCCTAACACTGCAATAGCACATGTAATTTCAACACCTGGAAAGAACTCAATCTCACTAATCAGTGTTTACAACCACAACACCAGGATTTTAGCATCTGTAGTCAAAACCTGGCTCCCAGTAACTGCAGGAAAGGCATTACCATGCCTATACTAAATCTTCCTGCTCCGATTTGTTTCCTTTAAAATCATTTCTCTGGGATTGCAATTCTATGCTGAATTTTATTTGTCAGTCATATAAATGACTTAACATGACAAAAACCTTTATACTTGAGACAGAGATTTTGGAAGAAACTTTAAATGAAGAATTTTAGACATCAAAATAAACCAGCCTTGTTTAAGCATGCCAAGAGCATTACAATGAGCTAAGTATAGACTGGCTCCTTACTGCAAGGCTTGTATTATACTTCTGTTGAACTAAAACAACCAAGCTATGTCACAGAAGTAGTCTCCAGCAATTACTCATTTCTCTGGCTTAGAGGTTCCATACAATGTATAATTTAGACTGTTCCGAGTTTTAAAGGTTTTGGCAAGACCTCATTAAAGCTCTCGGTGAGATGTGGATAGAAGGAGAAATATTTGATTTTTCAGAAGTGCTCTACTGGGCTTAAAGAGAGCCAGCCAAGAGGATATGTTCAACAACACCTGGACTTGGTACCATTTCTTTGGCATATATAAGAAAACATACCATATGGTTGCAAGATGATAAAACTAACAATGGAGGACCGGCTTCGCGAACCTGCAACTATTTATTTTTTGAGGAAAGGGGAGAAATCTATGCAAGGACAAAGGCAATTCATTTTTCCACTTGGCAACTTCTTTTCAATATTCATAGAACAAACACGAAATTCACTTAGAAATTCAAGACAAGTTACTTCAGCAGACAATAAAGCTCATATCATTTACTTGTGCAACAGACAACAACTCCCTGAAAATTAGCCAAATTCAGCTTCTCTAGACTCAATTTCTTCAACAGTTATTTTGATTTAAGGTGAAGCCTTAAAAAAACCTCCTGAAACTGTCAAAGACTTTACTTCTTTCACTCACACTATGTAAAACTAACTCTAAAGTAGTGACGAAGAGAGGTTTCTGAGCCCTGGGTAAAAACGGAAAAACCCAGACATGAACACCTTCCTGCCAGCTCATCTTGTCTGCCCTCTGCAACAATCTGCAGCAGTGGAAACTGTTTCTCCTACCCTCTATCAATGCAACTGTTTCAAATACTACACATTGCTTCATTCCCGTATCAGACAATCTTGCAGAGCTCTATCCACATTCAATTTCTGGCGGGTACTCTGGAGCCTCTGCAGCATGACAAGATTTTGTTTTATATCCACCCGTCATGAGAAGGTTGTATGTATCATAGGCTCATAGAACAGTTGGAAGGGACCCCTAATGATCATCAAGTCCAACTTCCTCCACCTCACAGGGCTACCTAAAACTAAGCTATATGACTAAGAGTGTTGTCCAGATGCCCCCTGAACTCTTCCTGGCTGGGTGCCATGGTCACTTCTCTGGGGAGCCTCTTCAAGTGCATGACCACCCTCCCAGTGAACCACGATTTGAGCACAGTCCAAACCTCCACCGCACTGCTAGACATAGGAAACTGTTCCCATACTCCTTTTTCTTCTGACCAAAAGCAAGTGCAACCATAGCCAACAATCCCACCAGAACTTAGGAAGAAAGGAGAAAAAGGTTGATGTGAGAACGCTGAGTGGGAAGTGCCTACCTTTATTACATAGGGGAAAAAGCACCACAGATCAGAACAGATCACAGAGGGAAAGATTCAGTGGGATGGGATCTAGACCTCATCCTTTTCCACTCAGACTTTATTAAAATTTCCAAGAACATTTTTTGGCATAGAAGGTGAAAGAGGACCTTACATTTCGCTACAGATGAGCATCCAAAACTACTGACCAAAAAAATATATAAATATTTATTACCATAAGCCAGTGAACACCTGTCAGGCAGCAACAGATCTTTGCTCACTACTGACCAATGACTCAAGAAGAAGGAGAAAAAAAAAGTAACTCCAAATAGTCATTGCTGGCATTATGCACTACACTTGAATTTGGCTCCTTTAACAATTTTGCAAATATAGCTATACATACATACTGTTATTTTTCTTCACACCACTTTAAGAATGATGGATAGTAACAGTCTTTAATTTAGCTCTCAATTCTCTTGCACATAAATCTTATCCGACATTTAAAAAAAAAAAAAAAAAAGGACTTTTTGCCCATAGGGCACTGCCTGAAAAAGCAATTTGGCAAGGGGGAAGGAAGAGGGGGAACCTTCCAACCTTTACAGTTTAAAAGTATTTTTAAATATAAACAAGCATTCCTATACTGCAGTTTACAGTCTTCTCTGTTTGTTTCAGCCACACCTCCAAACAAAGAAGAACACTGAATTACAGGGCTGACAGAAAAAAAAGTTTGATGAAACATTAAGCATACCTGATGGGTGTTGCTTATTGCAAATTTAAGTGCAGCTTCTCCTCCAATGCATTTATATGACTGCAATGGCTGAATTAACACAGAAAAGCTTGCTTTGCTTACCAACTACAACTGTTCAAGACAGAGGAACTGATGACATGCCCTAGCACTAGCTTCCTTGCAATAAAATCCCAAAATTGTTGTATTTTTCTCTTTAAGTTGAAAAACCACATAAAGAAGACTTTTGAAATTACAGGTCCTGGGCATACAAAACAAAACACACTTGATATGGCTCATATTTTCCCACCAAAAAACAACAGCAAAAAATCAAAGCCTTGCCAAGCAGTCACTCTTCTGAGTATCTGCTGCT